AGTCTGCGAAGACTCGCAGAGACGAAAAAGTGGCCGGTCGCGGCCCAGGAGCCAGGACATGATGAGGACGATCGCCTGACGATCGTCTGTTTGCTCTCGCTCGAACCTTCCTTGGTCAAAGAAGACATCGTCGGCCGCTTGCTCAACCGCCAGGAAGCAGCTCCGTGGACTTTCGAGGACGGCGGCATCGACCTGGAGTCGCTTGTGCGAGACACAATGCTGGCCACAGAGCAGGAGCAGGCCCTCAAGCAGCTGGCCAAACGGCAGGGCGGCCAGCGGTCAGCCAAGGAGGTTCGGACGAAAGTCTCTCAGACCTACGAGCACGTGGCAAAGACGTTTGCTGGTCGCCCGGACTACAAGAAGGCTCAGGCCCGCCGAAAAGAGAAGGAGAAGCAGGCCGAGAAGGAGCAGCGAGCACGAGCGGCAGCAGTGAAGAGGATCTACGACGACGTGGACAACAACGTCGATCGAGCCCTCAAGGCTGCGACTCCTCAGGGCGTTCGGATCACCACGGATGAAGGAAACGGCCGTTGGAAGCTGGCATACAGCACGGCCTGGGCCTTCGCCACTCGGAGCATCTCCTGGACTGCCGTCGGCAGTAAGCCGGCCGGAGCAGCCGCTCTGGAGCAGTGCTGGGAGTGGGCGGAGACGTTCGCAGGCATCACCATGTCGGACGAGGCTGCGACGATTTTGAAGAAACTGAAGGCCTAGGTCAAGGTCTTTCGTGGCGTACCGAGGGCAGTCGCCCTGGGCCAGCAATCCGAAAACAACACGTTTTGTGCTTCCAGAGCCGTGCGTCTGCATGCTTCCGTTTTGCAAGTTTTGCAAGTTTGCTCTGGTCACTGGTCTCGCTAAACCCAGCCTCAACTTTTAACCCAGCCTTTTAGTGCCTTGCCTCGCCCAGGCCAGCTCAGAAGCAGGCAGTCTTCAAGTTCTTCCCATGCCCTGTGCGTGGCAAAGGTGCCTCGGGACATGATTGTTCTGCAGTGCTCTCGACTGTGACGTCTCAGCGTTGTTGCCTGTGCTGCTAGACTCTGTGCTTAGAAAAGAAACTTCAANNTTGCCTCACAGACATGCATTCAACCGCCGCTTTCCGTTTACGTAGCACGGCTTTAGAGGTCAGCTAGTGAGTGCATGCTGGTGCTGGTGGTGCTCATAGTCCTCGTAGTAGGAGTCCTAGTATAGTACTGGTCTGAGGCTGTTTAAGCTTGGCCGTCATGCTTCCAATCCTCATGGCAATCACCTAACTAACTAATCGTAGTACAAGTCCTCTAGTAATCCTGTTCGTCCTTTCTCATTCGTCCTCCGTCGTTCGTCCTTCGTCATCGTCGCCGTTCTAGTAGCCGTTCTAGCAGCCCTACGAAAATGGGCCGGGCATCCTTAGCGGAGACCGGTGGCGTTCGAGCCCCCAGTGCTTGGGCTCTCTTCTGCTCCTGGGTCGCTCGTGAAGGCATCCCAGAAGCTCGGGCAAGAGGGTTTCGCATCCGTGGCAAGCGGACCCGGCGGAATGCGGCCTCTATGAAGCTGAAGTGGCGTCTCGGGCCTGTGTCTAGCGTTTAGCTGAGTCAGACGGATGGATGCCCTAAACCTACTTAAACTAAACAGTTCATCCCACTCTCTCAAGCCAGGCCTTATCTACT